AACACTGTCCGGGGGGGGCCGGGGGGGGCTGTTGGTGATCGTGTTAGGTGGCTGGGGGGGGCACACACCAAGCCTCGCCGGGGACTGGGAGCTATTTCTCCTCCCCACCCATATCTCACTGCTGCCCCAGGGCTGTGACTCCCCGGGGGCGCAGATCTGGAGACAGGCGCCTGCATTGGCCTGGGAGGACCCTGGTACCAGACACCCAGGGCATGACAGTGGGACTCAACCGGCCCCAGCCTCGTCCCGCTCCTAGACCCCAACCCCATCACCCTCCTTCCCTGCCGCCTTCTGCAGGGGCCAGGACCCCCGGCGGGCCAGAGGGACCATTTCTGTAGCCTGGTTTCTTCTGGGCCATCCCTCCCCGTCTGCGCTGGTTAGCAGATGGGATTCAGCCCCTTGCCGGGCAGAGGCTGAGTCTGGCCAATGCAACCTTGTATTCATGGCGCAGCTGCAGCTCCGGCTCGGGAGCTTCTCCCTCCCTGGCCGGCAGGCATCCTGGCTCCCTGAGAAGGACCCGCAGCCTCCCCCTTTCTGCCAGGCTTCCACAGACAGCCTGAGGAGGAGGTGGACCCGGAGGCTGGTTGGGAAAGCTGTCCTCCTCCTTCGATGCAGCATGGCCGAGCAGCGAGGGCACTAGCCAGGGACTCAGCAGACCTGGGTGCTAATCCTCCCTCTGCCACTGATTCATTGCATGGCCTTTGGCAAATCCCTTGCCCTCCATTTCTTCTTCAGTCAGATTGCAAGCTGTCTGTGTGTCCTCCCCAGCCCAGACTCTCCAAGTCCTTCCCTAAAGGGCACCTCCTCCCCAGGGAACTCTCAGCCCCCCCTCGTACGAAAACCTGCCCGACCTCTCTGATCGCTGTGATCGCTCAGGGCTCGGTCCTTGGTCTCCAAGGGTCTTGCGGAGCCCCTCGCTCCGTGGTCAGCGTGGGACGCTCCACCAGCAGCAAACCAAGGGGTGCCCCTTGCCAGCCCTGAGAGGGGCAAGGGAGCCCCATAGGCATCACTAGATCATTCTCCCTTGCACCTTCCCGCCTGCAGGCCCTGCCCTGGGTCCCCAGGATGCGCCTGAACACAGGAGCGTGTAAATACAACACCCATTTTATTTATGGCCGGGGCAGACCTATGTGGGACGCTCCACCAGCAGCAAACCAAGGGGTGCCCCTTGCCAGCCCTGAGAGGGGCAAGGGAGCCCCATAGGCATCACTAGATCATTCTCCCTTGCACCTTCCCGCCTGCAGGCCCTGCCCTGGGTCCCCAGGATGCGCCTGAACACAGGAGCGTGTAAATACAACACCCATTTTATTTATGGCCGGGGCAGACCTATGGCTGGAGCCCGAGGCCCCGGAGCCTCTCAGCTTCCTCACGAGCCCTTTGGCCACCAGGCTCAGCAGCGCCCTCCGGAAGTAGGTCTTCTTCCTCGCCAGGTCGTAGCCGGCGGCCGCCACGAGCTTCTTGAGAGCCTGCAGGGAGAGGCCGGTGCGCCTCTCGGAGGCAGCCACGGCCTGCAGGATGAGCTTGGGGAGCCTGGGACCCGGGGGTTTGGGCAGCTTGGCCGGGCTGGCCCCAGGCAAGCTGGAAGGCTGGGAGACCCTGCTGCCCGCCGGCTGGGTCTCCTGGGCGCCGGTGGACCCAGATGGCTGGGCCTGCTCGGGGCTCTCTGCCGTTGGGTGAGCTGAGCCCACGGCAGCAGAACCCGGAGCTGCGGGGTCCGGGTGCCCTGGAGGGGTGGAGGAGGAACCCAGGGGAGGAACCTTAGGAGGGTTTTTTGTTTCCTCCATCTTGTTTGCCAGAGGCAGCAGCTGCTCCTTGGCC